TAACAGTTTAGATGGCCCATAATTTTGCTGTTAGGGTCTCCGGTAAACAAAGTTGAAACACGAGATGTCACAGGATTTGAAGAGGAGAAAACGAAACGATTGCCAGAATTGCCAGTTGGCTGGCAGTAGATGTTGCAGCGTTAATCAAACCTACTGTAAAAGTTGTATGACCACTCTATGAATTGTAGCTGGTCAAAGTAAAAATATAAATGTGTGATAAAAAAAAATCTGTAAGTTTCAAAGATGTTTTGGGAAAATTCATCCTACGGTCTATTGTAGCTTTCTTCTTGATTTTGGAGTTTACCGGTTTTATAAACCTAAATCGCACTGGCTGACGTTTTTTGCACCAGAGTTTTGTTACTGACATAAATGGTATTGGAGCAGTTTGTGGAAATGCCATATGCCTATACCATTAACATTTTGCTAGTAGCTAGAAGCAGTCTGGGAAAATCAGTCCTTTTTGCGATTTACTGATCGTTTTTAATGGTGATAATCATTGGGGGATCCAATGGGGGAGGGGAGGCGAGGGGTCTTTCGCCCTTCCCCCTCTCCCCTCCGCCGAGGAGCCGGAGGGGGGGGGGCGTGGCGACGAAGGAAGAAGGTGAGGTGAAAAATCCCCCTCAACCCAAGGAGACCGCCTTGAATCCGCCTATGGTGATGGTAGAGTTGGCAGCTGCTCAAACTGTTTGCAAGTTGCTGCCCAAACTGTTTGCGAATGCCTTCACTTCTAGTGAGTTATGGATATTTTTTAACTTTTGATTTGTACTGCGGAAACCTGGGCTGCCCTCTTTCTCAAACGGTGTCAATCCTATCAGCAAGCGTTTTCTTTTGGGTCAAGTAGATCCTGGAGAAGCAGAGCGAAAGGCCGAGGCTGTGGATCGTTAGTTCCTCGATCTTTGCAGTCGGCTTTGTTCTTGCTACGAGAACCAAAAGTCCACTTCTCAGAACGAAGGTCTGCATGAAAACATACATTCATTTTGCACAATTCACTCTGATACTCTTGTACGCCAGCCATTATTTGAAGTTGCGCGCAGCTGTGGTGAAAAAATTTTAGGAGCACGATGAATGGATGGACCCTATGGTCAGATATCCGTTTGATGAGAGTGGACTGGTAGAGGAAGGCATGGACAGGTGCGCGAACCGGCCATTCGCTTAACACGATCATTACTTTTTCACTGCACCAAATGCAAATGTGCACACAGAAGGGTTTTAGTGATCGTAGTACTTGCTGAGTATTGAGTGGGCGAAGGGGATGACTGTGAAGAAGACCGAGGGAAACATTCGCTCCTTCGCATCTCCTCCTCATTTCTGAAATGAGTTTGTTCATTTAGTTAATATTATTGATGATTGTTTGATTTAAATTTAATTTTTCAAATTCAAGAAATCCGGCCTTAGGAAAATGGGGAAGGGAAAGCTGAGAAAGAAGGAGAGGAAGGCAGAGAAAATGACCTTCCGCCAGCCATATGTAAATTTATGTTTTTTGCAAAAGAGCGCAAAAAAGACTACTCGACTCCACATATATCTTCATGTGTTCATGAATATTACGGATAATATCATGAATGTCGGTGTAGAGCAACACAGAGATGTGAAGATTGAACTACATATGGCACCTTGCAGTTATCTCACGCTATTTAGTGCTCAGACAACTGTCATCATTTTTATGCGTTTTTGCTTTGCAACGCTAGAGCGCTGCAACAGGCAGCAAAAAAAATTATACCGGTGAGTCCCCCGGCCGAGTGCAAGCCCAGGAACGTGATACCAACTTTCAAGCACGGCTGCATTTCATATACGGACACGCGAAAATTTTGACGGAAGAATTGCTAGCTCGGGAATCAATACATCCCAGTAATTTTCAATGAACAACCGCCCAGGGGAAATTGTTCATTTTCCATTAGGCAAAATTTACAGTGATTTACGGATTGTATGCACAAGTCAAATGCAAAGCAACAATGATTTATGCAGTTAACAACTTGATTGCTTCAAGTTTAGCGTAAAAACGCATGATTGCACCGGCAAGCCTAATGCGTTGCGGTCTAGATTCCTTTAACAGAACGTCAAACTTATGTTTTTTTTTAAATTTTTAGAAAGAATATGCATTGCAGGTTATAACAAAATAAGAAATTTGAAGTTATTGCTTTGAACTAAACTTTCTACCAATAAGACCCATCGGACTTTCAAGTCAATGCTCCAAGATTACTGGTATGTCTCCACACGCTAGGCGCAGCTGTATCAGTCCTTTTGATTCAAGAGCTGCATGCCTCCAGCTCGTTATTTACACCGTCTGTGTATATTTTGCTTTCTCTTCGGGGTGGTTCGACTGCTCATTTTCTTTCTCAAAAGTGCCGCACACTTACGCGCGACATTCGCCAACTGTTGTCAACAAGGTGCGCAGCTCGAGCAACATACCCAGCCCGTCGGATTTTATTTTTTTATGTGGCCACGATGATAAGTCTTTGCGCACTGC